CAGGGGCATGTCAGTGCCGTGTCAGGGCCGTGTCAGGGGCATGTCAGGGGGATTGTCTGGGGGCATAGGGAGATTGTCAGGGGGGATGTCGGGGCACCTGTGTGCGTTTATGGGCGTTGGCGTTGTTGACATTGCATTTGATCTTCACTTTGTCTTGCAATGATCCATGCCAGTTTGTCTAGAAACAAAACACACCTCAAGCGAACAATATTCATTGCAGAAGGAACATTGTCATTGTCTCAAGGGGAGTTGCTAAGGTTTGTGATAGTGACCCTCAAGATTTTTACAGCTAACTGATATGTCAATTTGGCTTCAGCTGCATACTGCAAGGCATCAGCCTGCAAACCAAAAGAAGGCTCGACCTCTTTTGCTTATCCACGAATGGCCCAGAGCAATGAGGATTGCAAAAAAACAGCAGCGTCCAACAAACGGAAGGCAGAGGAGGAGCAGACAGCAAGACTGCTGAGAAAAAGGACTCTGTATCTGGGGGAGGTGGATTCGTCATCATCAGAGGATGAGCTTGATCGCCTATTTCCTGGATGGTGGGAAAATGATCAGCATTTAGCAGAATGTGATTGTGACTTCTGCAAACTGTACCATACCAAGCGACCGGGTAAGGCATCTGTGACAAAGGCAACCTCATCATTATCCCTGAACACTGGTTCAAATGGTTCAGATGGAGTTGCAGTCGAACAACATCAAAACCCTAAAACCCCTGATGCCGCATAAGCGAGGGCATGCTTCCAGGGGGAGCCTACGGTGTGTAAATTTTAATTTGGCCACATGCTTGATGCGTGTGTTCCTTTGACACAGTGGCCTTTTAGCGTTCTGATTACATCAGAGCGGATTCATTGCATTGAAGCTAGAAAAAGAATGGGATTGCATTTTGGGGTTGAAGCTGGTTTCAGTGTTGTACTTGCGCAAGGGGTATGCATTTTGAAAACTACAATGCGTGATGCCAAATGCAAAACGTTTGTTTCTCCCATTGCTTGGGCCCAGGCTTGTCATTTGAGGATCAACCCAAATCCTTATCAAGGGAGGCTTGTCCCCCTGCGCAATGGCTCAGCCATCGAAGTTTCCGCACCCCCATGACTGGAAGGCACATGTGCCAAGTCTAGGGTCCTTCCCAAGGGATCTGCATGTTTCCTTGCCCTGTTGTGGGATAGATGGTGCAGGGTTTGCTCTAAAAGCCCTGTCAATCCCTTTCCGTGTCATGGGAGCTTGGGATGTTGAGAAGAGATACAAGCAGCACCTAGAGGCGCACCATCAAGGTGGAAACATCTATGTTGGAAAAGATGCTGATGTTTGCCATTTGGACTTAAAGACAATCGAGCGGCCAGTTGATATTTTAATATCAGGTCCACCATGCCCACCGTGGGCAGGGAACGGGTCCCACAAGGGGCAGTGGGACCCGCGGGCCGATGTGTTCTTACATGTGATGAGGATGGGGATTTGCCTCATCAAAACAGGGGAGCTCAAAGCGATCGTCATCGAGAATGTCCGGGGCATTTTGAACCAACAAGGTGGCAATCCAAGTTTTATGACCAGCATCATGAATTTCCTGCAGGCCAACATTCCAGAGTTTGCTTGGGAGGTTACAACGCTAAAAGCTGATGCTTACAAGTTAGCACAGCAAAGGACCAGAGTGTTTCTTCGAGGCATTCGTGTGTCCAGTGGAGGAGGAAAAGTTCCTGCGCCCATGGGTCCATTTGGGCACAAACCATTGCAGGACTTTTTGAACCCGAGACTCCCTCCAGTGGATTGGGCATGCTTGACGCCAACTATGGCGACCAACTTGAAAGCCGGAGTCACGGCTTTGATGGAGAAAAAGAAGAACGGGGAGTTCAACAAAAATGATATCGTGGTGTTTCCTTTGGACCGAGCCGAGGGCAAGGTCTATGTTCGAAGGTTTACAAGGAATATTGTTCCCACCCTCACCACGACCAACAAATACCTTTTCATTGCGTCCATGGACCTGGAGTTGGAAGAAGGTCAAAGGAAGTACTTCCGATTTCTGACGCCTGAAGATTCTTCACATCAATTCAGGTATATTTTTGTTCGAGTTTTGGATAGACATTTTACGATCATTCAATTTTTCTGTTTTGATTAGCAACTTTGAAGTTTGTCAAATTGATGTCATGTTTGGTTTCATGATCTAACAGAATATGACTATGGTGTCATGATATAAATATATATAAGTATATAGTTTTACAGTTTAGTTATATAAATCATGTTTTCCCATGACAGCGGGCGAGCCTCACTGTCTATGGATGTTCTGGGCGAGCCTCACTGGCTATGGAAGTTCTGGGCGAGCGTCACTGCGATATAAATATATAGTTATATATATATATGCGCTATGACAACATGGTTGAAACATTTACTATAATTATCATGTGTAGAGATACACTAATACTATATTGTCCAAAAATGTCCAAAAGCTCACCATGCAAAACCACAATAAAAAGGGTATGACGTGACAGATGGCTCGCCTCTATCTCTATTATGTGAGTAAAGCCCCTGACTCCAAAACCCTGTCAAAATCCCATCGCTCTGTTGCCCAGGAGAGGTTTCCACTTCAAGGCTTTGACGTCGACACCTTGATGGGGAGCAGTGATGCTGTGAAGGTGCAGGCAAGTGGAAACGCCTATCCGGTCCCACTCATGCTTGCAGTGCTGGCACTCATTTTGTCTACAGTGAAGAAAGATCTTCACAAAAAGGTCCAAACGAAACCAGTCACGTGCACCGAGGCGACACATGTGTGCAAATTGTTCGATGACTTCATGAATGAATGCAAGCAGCAACTTGGAACCGCTGTTGGAAAGAAAGCAAAGGCCATGAAGGCAATGAAGACAATGAAAGCCATGAAAGCGTGCAAGAAGCCAGCAGCAGCTCACTTGAAAGCAACAGCCAAAGCGAAGGGCAACAAGACCAAGAAGACTATGACCAAGAAGACAAACATACCGATGAAGAAAAGTGTGAAAGGAAAGCGCCATGTTGACAAAGCATACCGATGGATTAGTTCATCCTCTTCATGAGCTGGCAGCGCGTGCGATTTGAACAGGAGATGCCTCGTGACAAAAAAGGGTGGGGGTTGTTTTTCATGTTTGGGAGTTCCGGGAAGTTCCAGTGCGTCGCTCCAAACTTGGCTCATGTGCCTCAATTGATTGGTGTTTGTGCTCATGTTATGACTTGTATGTTGTGATTGCCATTTCATTTCTCCAAGTGATTTTGAAGGCTCGCCTCACTTGATTTGTGCAGCACTCATGGCCCAGCAAAGGTTCCAGCAATTGCTGGAATTCCTGACCACCTTGAACCAGGTGAATGGTGATTCTCCAAACACGCTGGACCAACGTCGGCGCCTTTTGCGCAGTTGTTTGCAGGACTTCATGTCTGGCCCAGTGCTTGAGATGTCTGCAGGCACTGCTATGCTGAGGGAAGTTCAAGACTCCTCAATCCCACAATGGATGAAATATGACGTGATCACTGCGGTGGAAAATAAAATGTGTCAAAATGAAAGTGTGGGGACGAAAGCCAGGCACGGTTTGCAGAAGAACATGTTCTTGTTCAACTACTTTGGTGAGAAGGAGTGGGGGGTGCTGATGAGTGAGAACAAAGGTTTGGACCCCAAACTTCAGGTCATCAAAGGAAGGTGCGTTGCGATTGGTTTGACTCATCCAACTGAGCCGACCTGTGTTCTTGCAAATGCAATTCTCCACCTTGCATCGCACACTGGGGCCATCGAGGATTTCCAGGTTGACAAGCGGAAAGCCTTTGGTTTGCTGAAGGAGATCAAGACCTTGGTGAAACTGGGATCCAAAAGGGCCTGTCACTCAGGAATTGCGATCTACCCTGCTGATCCTCAAGATCTGCCCCAACAGCTCAGGGATCGTGCTTACCAAAATGAACCGGCAGTACAATGTCCTTTGGATGTCTCAATGATCCAGGAGTTGGCAACTACCCTACCTGCAAGAGATACACACCACGACATTCGAGCCAAACATTCTTTCAAGTCACGGTCCCAATGTGATGACAACATGGGTTCTATGGTTGGCAGCTTGCTGTGCAACGGCCTCTTGGCTGGTTTGTTTCAGGGAGGAGGCTCAGGTTTGAATGGTCTGAATGGTGTGAACCTCCAGATGCTGGGCAATGGGGCTCAGAAGAGGAAGTATGGTCAGCTGGCCATAGAAGATGGCAAGCTCCAGGTAGATGAAGCTGGCGCCAAGCCCGAGGACAAGAACGACCAAGAACCAAACGCGGCGCAATCTGCAGAGGCTTCGAAACCAAAAGGGATTGACGGTATGGCAGCCATCATTGCTGATCAGCTGGTGGCCAACTCAAGTGAGAAAAATGGCAAGGCAACTAAGCCAACCAAGAGCAAAGGAAAGGCGAATGCAAAAGCCAGCGCCAAAAGCAAAGTGAAACAAGTTGCTTCCGGGGGCTCTGCCAGTCTGAAGTCTCTGGTTTTTCCAGGCACAGCTGGCAGGGATCCAATTTACTTTGGAGATGTGGCCACTATATACACCTGCCCAAAATCGAGCAACTGGAGGGTGAAGAAAAACACTGACAAGAAGGACAAGGCTTTCAGTTGGAA